CACGCTATGGGCAGATCAATATGGAAAGTCGAAGTGTGCATTTATCACTAAGAATACAAAAATGGTTCCTATGAGACCTTTAACATACACGTGCGATACATGTCAGCGGCACATGAAGCGAGATGGTACACAACATAGCACTATACAAAATTGCCCCCATTGGGTTGTGGGACCGGAACAAAGCGAACGACTCTTTAGCGCGCGTCGTTGTCACCAGCCACACTTCTGCGAATCCTCTCCACTATTTGGTTCTGAGGCCATTCACTAACTGATGTTAGCAGTAAGCGATACTACGGAATTTTCGTTGGTTCAGCTTCAAGGTTGGTTCTATTACACTTCTATGGGGAACAATGTCCCCTTGCATCGTCGCACTTAACCATCGCCGTCGAAACTTATTATATAACTTACCTAGCAGCCAATTGCTCGACGTGCGGAATAACCCACGTGAGATTGTTCTCTTGTCGATCGTCACCTATGGGCAGACCATATGTCGAAAGTGACAAACCTATTGATCCTATTAATATCATTGCTTCCTATGTACACTTTACGTACACGCCGCATAGCAAGCCGGTGGGGGGGGGGGGGGGGGGGGGGGCAGGGGGGGGGGGGGGGGGGGGGGGGGGGGGGGGGGGGGGGGGGGGGGGGGGGGGGGGGGGGGGGGGGGGGGGGGGGGGGGGGGGGGGGGGGGGGGGAGTGGATCATAGAGACACTTGAGAAGCGACAACTGAGTAACATTTCGCCCATGGGTATGGCTGGCAAACGAACACTCACTGACGTCGTGTCAACGCCACAATTGCAATCCTCTTATTTTTTGTTGAGTCGTCAACTGTGATCGAATTAAGCAACCTTAGAATTGTCGTTGTTCAGCTTCAGGTTGGTCTACTAACTTCTGTGGGAACTGTGTCCCCCATGATCGTTGCAATGACATTCGCACACAATTGTCTAACCGCCTACCAGCCATTGCTGTACTGTGGAATACGAGTTAGATGGTTGCCTGTCTACGCCACCATGGTTAGGCCGCTGAATAAGCCACCATTAGGTAGCCGCCAGTGATCGCCATAGACCGCTACATGTGCTGGTTAGTATGTCTATCCACACTGGTTAAGTCTTAAGCTTTGGATAGTGTGGTAGCTAGCATCTCCTCCTTTGACAAGCATCACAATTTACCTATTGGTCGATTTCAGGTTGGAGACCAATCATCGAGGTTTACTCCAGCGGGGCATCAGGGCAGAACGGAAGGTGGTGCTCGACCACTTTCATTGGACTGTCTGTCGCGTATGCTGGCAGCTTCTAACCGAAGTCCCATTGGTTTACGTCCCATAACCAATGAGAGTGTCAAGGACGCCAAATCAGCGTTCTCCGCCTCGCTAACTTGAAAGTACCGCACGCTATTTCGAAAATGAACCACGCTAAAAGCTTGGTACAATACGCTAATATGCGTGTAAAAAAGGTATAGAACCAAGGTTAACAAGCCCACAGATTGAATCGGCCAGGTGGCAGTTGTTGCTAAGATGTTTGGTGATTCTATGAAGTCGATCGATCCAGAACCGCTTAGCGCCTCTCTCGAATGAGAATAGACTGAGTAGGGACAGGAAACAGGTGTACGTACATAATACTAACAAATCAATTCAGCCATAAACCAACAGCCCTGGAGCATCAGAGGTGACATATCATGTGTACTCGCCCGACAGAGGGAGGAAAGAAATAGGCAAAGTTGAAGAAAGAAAAAGCACACTGGCGAAATCTACTGCGCGGACGATGTGCACAGTCTGGCCAATCAGTGAATTGATGTACGGTGATTCCCAGCACTAGATGTTTCCATAGAGTTGGAAATCGATCTTTCCGGAAAGTATGATTGAGTCTAATCTTTGCGAAGTAATTGAAATTGAGCTTCCTAAGAGTGGCCAATAGACAGCGCTTGACTGGATACTCACCCACAGAGTAAAGGAGAGCAGATCCAGCCGAAAAGTGTGATTGCAATGTTCTACAAATATAAGCTTGAAGTTGGACAAAAAGTCTTAGTAGGCATAGAGAAGTTAATTTCCTCAACCGGTTAGACGAAACGACGGGCAGGCACCTGGTGACCAATGGTTGGTAGATATGAGAAGTACCGTATTAATAGACAACAACCATGCCTTATCGTTGCCACAAGCAATCAGTGGTGCCGTACTGTAGAAAAATCGACAAGAGCTAATAACTCGTAATTTAATGTCTACAACAGTTGAGGGATATGGGTTTCACCCCTATCGGATGCGAGATTGCATGCTTCATCTCCACTCATTGAAGGGCTCTGAAGTAACATGAGAGCACCACACCGAAGATCTAAAAAACAGCAGCAGCAGCAGCAACAACAACAACAACACCGGCAGCAGCAGCAGCAGTAGTACAGTAGTCATTTGAACTGAGGATTCACTGCCGCACAACCACAATGACCTAGGGAAAGAAGAATAATAGGCGGAAAAGAATGGGACCTGATGTGGTATCCAGATGTTCAGTGGATCACGGAAGCACGGGAAAGATTGCACTATGGTAAGGATCAACACATCGCGATAGGCAAAAATGATACGAGGGAATCAAAGAAACGACTGCTTCCCGTCAGAAATCCGGTGACCACATAGCTGATAGAAAAAGCAACAGAACCAGACGGATAAACTACACTACGAACCTGAGCACATGACTCCGTTTCCTCTCCGGTGGTGTCCAGAGTCTCAGAGCAGATATCAGTGTGTGCCAGAGCTTCGAGAGGAAGGAAGCGAGGAATGACGTCACCTGGGACAACCTCATGAACAGAGTGCATCGCATGTTTTGGCTCATTTGTGTTTCCGAGTTCAAGTGAGTTGTGAACGACTTTAAGACGCGCCTCTGACAGATTTACGGTAGACTCCTTCCGCATCGTCCAAACGCGGCGCTTTATGTGGGTGTCGGTTGAACCGATTGCATGTTTATCGTAAACGCATGCCACTATGGTGTTCGATCTGACGGCATGGTAACGAGCAGGTTCAGGATCACACTTTGTGGTGATTCGTGCGTCTTCCACTGAGTTAGAAGATAACTGAGATTCCGAATTGTCCGGTGTGCCGAGTGTGGAACTGGAGTCGGAGTGCTGCAGCGTTGGTGACCGGTTGCATATAGTATCAGGAACATTCGACGTTTTGTTTCGAGTAAACTCAGAACGCTTTAAGGAAAAATGTTTTGGGCTACGCCTCGGACAGAGCTCGACCGTAGTCGTTGAAACAAAGCATTCATCACCACTATCGCCATAGCCACCTGAAGCGGCTAAATCTTCGTTGAAGAACCGATCCAACCGAGCGGCATATTCTGAAAACAATTCAATGTCGTTGTGACCAGCCCCATCGATCCAAGCCGGTTCCAGAGGATGAGTAAGACGAGAAAACAGCTCGCGTCCATGGTGGATTCCGATGATTTCATCATCTGTCCCATGGATAATTAAGGTGGGTGAAAGGATCTGCGAAACTTTGTCGATGCTAGACAGAGCAGAAAAACAAGATGGAGAAACAAATCGGTAATCGGTTATATATTTTTTAAAAATCGGAGCGTAATTAACACTGCGACGCCGCTAAGGGGCACTATTTTTTGGCTGCACTCGGCACAACACAAGGTTATCGTCCATGGCAGCAGAATACTATGAGAAATAAGCATAAACAGTGCGACATTCAGAAAGTAAATTTTTCGTGAGGATCAAGTAGGGCCGAACAAGCGTAGTTTTACTTTGATGTTGATGATTTGAATAGGGGTTCAATGCAGCTAAAAAAAAGTGTGATGACAGTATAAGAAAACAAGCAACCTCCATTAAGGGAATGATAAACAAGCGTAATGAACACTTAATAGAAAATGAGGCGAGTAATAAGTATGTGAAACATAAGACTTACTTTGTGAATGGATCGAAGCAGAACCGGCGTGTTGTACCAGGACACACGACACGAAGGCCAGACATGAAAGGAGAATGCAAAACAACCCCAGCAACCTAGAAAAAGCAGTGTGACGTCGGATAGTAGAAGAGCAGATCAGTGAAGGGAAATGACGAGTTAGAAACGGAACCGGTCAGCCAAACTGGTACCCCTTCTGAAGCATTCAATACACGAATAGCCTTAAAGGAAAACGGAGTGAGTAAAGACCACTTATGAATAACGTGATCTTCACAAACTAGGAGCCGGTTGCGGTCGCCAAAGCTAATTGGTGGGCAGCTTAGTTGGTACAATCCTTGGGCTACTAACGGCCTCAAGTGGTTTATGTCCACGTGTGCATCGAATCGAACCGAAACACTGTGAGCGTAATCCAGTCAATTAACGTAATCGGTTGACATCCACAGATAGAAAAAAGGGAGGAGACGCATATGCTTAAGAGAACGTTCGTAGGGTCCCATGACTAATAAGCGAGAATAGGGAGGAACATGGACGCAACGGGGTTAGAGCATCCAATGACGGTATTTGTTTGCGCTGAAAACGAGAGTGCGTTGGTCAGCTCGAAGTGAACGATGAGGAAGGCATAAGGTCGAAAATATGAGTTAGGAAGAACAGCAAGTTGCCTTGAAGCCAAATATGTACATAGAACTCGGGCGCGCTAATGAATGTAGATAGAACGAGGATCCGACAACTCTAATGCACCATACTCATGCAGATCATCTGTAAATACAGGCAAACATGAAATGCCTTAGGACCGCTCATCAGTAACTGTATAAGAGGTTGTGACGCAAGGCCAGGCGTCATCAACACGCCGGTGTTCCGCACCGACACCTCGCTGTCACGCAACCATCACATCGAGCACAGGCTGGGGATGCTGAGTGATAGTCCACAACCGCACATGTGCGAACCAGTATGCCTTGATTTACAAGGTAGACGCTTCATACACCGGCCGATTTTGAAACGGTAGAGTTCGTGAGGCAAGGGTGTAAGCGTGGTGCATGGCAGCACACAAAATGTGATTAGAAACAAGGCATTACCGTTCAGCCTACGAGCCGAATCAGAATAGTTGGCTCTCACAAATCATGGAGTCGATTCGGAGGTCAAACAAGTCAGGTGAACGGAGAAAAAATCAGAGTAGGAAAAGGCGAGAGAACAAACCTTGTACTTTGTGGCCAAATAAACGGTGGGGGCGGTTCCAATGCTTTGACCATATAGAACAATCCGTTCAAGAGGAACCTCATAGCGTTCGCGGACTTCGTGCAAAACCGCTTCCGCGTCGGCGTATAAATTCTCCTCTAGACGCAGTCCAGTGCTGACTCCGTATCCAGAATAATCATAACATACGATATCCACGCCAAATCTGTAGGCCAGTGACTGTAGGAAGCCAGCCATCTATGGAGAAAATCCGGATGCAAAGATCGTAATAGTACCTCATTAGTATCAGAGTATTAAACCGGCATCTTAACAGAAGGGTAAATGAAGGCCACGAGCCAACTAATCAGATCGAATGTGGTCTGAAGAAAAAAGCTATTAAGGTGCCGTGAAAACCCTGTTTTATATAAAAACTTAAGAGCGCGCCGCAATTTCATTGAGTTAATAGTCCATAGACGAGCATTGCAGTCCGAATATGTCGCACGATCTCCATCGTACAATCTTCAGGGAGCGGTCTGCATCTACAAATTTCAAAATGCTGTTGCAGTCATCGGTATTCTGAACTTCGACGACAAATAGTAGAATATCGCTGGATAGTTCAACTGCTCACTGAGGGAACTGCGACTGTAGAAATGAGTTCATATAGTGAAAAGATTAGAGTTGCCATCGTAGTGTTGCGACGTTATTGGCGACAGAATGGGGTTTCCTATAGTTATAAACTTCCGATATGCAGGACAACAGCGAAGACCGAAAAGCTGAAGTGAGGATTGATCACGTTGGTCTGGTTATTCGAAAGGTTTTCACATCTGCAAACAACGTCAGCCCGGAGAATTGTGCGTCGGAGAAAACCAGCGTGTCGGCGATGATACGCGAAGTACGAGGGGATTTCTCCGATAGTATTACTAGTTGGCTTTGGTACGATTGTATAACCAAAAAGGCAGTGGGATAAAGTTAGCTTATGGGATCCATTCGGATTCACAAATCGACCTTGCAAGGTGGAGAAGAGCAGATCCAATTCCTGGAAGCTATGTGCACAAACAAGCTGCTTGTGACCAATCAAACGCTGTTATTGGAGCGTGTTTTTCAGTAAAATAGATGCCCGATGCTTATACTTATTGTTATCGTAAGAGGAGAGTCCACAACAAAGACAGTTGACGGCAGATGATTTTTGGCTGATTTGCACCTTGATGGAAAGTATTTGCAAGCCAGTAAGCAAAGTGGCTGCCTTCTCACTTTCGGATATTATTGGTAGCATTTGCACTTGCACGTGCGGAGATCAGAACAAAGAAAACAGTATTCTGCGGAGAGGGTTTAGTAAAGATATGACCGCTAACCTCACACAACACGAATAGTGAGGTCAATCATGAGTGTGGGAAAATTTAAAGGTGTTAATCGAAGCAGTCTATGGGGCAGCGACGAAACCATCAACGGCAGATTGATTAAGGACAACCCAAACCGTACTCATTAATCCGTTCGTAGGAATCTTGGCAAATGGAATTAGTGTCATAAACCTGGCCGTCTCGGGAATAAATCTGCCACGACAATAAAAAAACGGCTACTATAGAAACAAATTGCAATGCGCATTCATACTGAAGCATCATCAGCAACGTCAAAGTTAAACAAGTGTTGTAATCAACGAGTGTATGCAGTAAAGTGGTCCGACAAGGAATGTACATCTACCTGGCCAATATCCACAGCGTTGCCATGACTGAACAGAACGGTGTATCTGGGCTTGAAGGTGGCGTTACCCATTGATGGAAGCGGATTCAACCCAGTAGTTGTGCACTCGTCGTTCAACGTAGGACAACTGACGCTGATTGCTTGAAGCGTTTTCGAGCTCAAACGAACGGGAGAGACGCCGCGAAGAGTGGGGAAATTGGGTTGTGCGTTGTGATTTGGAGAGCCGAACGATGCAGAATTGCTTCCAGGTATATGCATGCACGCTATACGTGATCGACGCTTTGTCATTGTGTAGAAGACCTGAGGAAATAAACATTTTACGAAGCATTAGTCAAAAGAACTGTGGGTCGAAACAGTTGCTAAAAAAGTAGATTTGAGGGACAAGAAATTACGCTGCAAAAACCCGAAACAGTTTTAGAGAAGGTAATATGAGGAATTTGGGGATTTCTAAATAGACTCAGTGCAATAACTATCAGAAGTCCACCATAGATTTTGAGACACGACAGACCGTTGTAGCGTCTTAGTGGGAGCCAGTAACAACATGCGGCCCCATCTTTCGACCCTCGAAACACCACAAAAGAAACGGTTCCACCACCCATTTCTATCCGGCTTTTATGATTCACTGCAATCGTTGCGAGCGTGCAAAAATGCAGTTATTAAGGTTCCGACTGAGTTAACACTAGATGCGCAGTGGACTAACAACTTACCGACTCCGCGATGATTGGGGATAGAAGAATAAAAAGGGAGACCTGTCGAAAAGGTAATCCAGCGATTTCATTCGAAGGCTCTCACTTCGAACTAAGCCTGAGTGGGTGCTTCCTGAAACGCAGGTGGAGGTCCCAAAGACGACAGACACGTGGCCAAGAGCCGAAATCATTAGTGCCCGTGTTATTTTTTGTTCTCGCTCCTATTCCCGACTAAGTTCATTCTCTATCCAGTTTTATTTCTGATGAATAAAAAAACAGCATACCATATTACTCGCTTTGTTTATATTTTTAATTATTTTTTCGAACATCTGGTTGAAGCGCGAGGCACAGTAGCGGGAATGTTTCTCACCTCTAGCTAGCGTGCACAATGACGTATTGTGTGCATTCATTTGCCCTTTTTAGATATTACATTACATTAACCTTTCAACTACTACAACCATTACAGGTGCCACCAGCACTAAGCACTGGAGATGTGGTCTCAATTGGTGAGGAAACTTCTGTAAGCGAACTGTTCGGCTCTGTGAACAGACTGACATTTCGATCACAACCTCAGTCACACAAGTAAGGAAGTCAGGCCATTCCTTAAATCCATTAACAACTGCTACGTCCGCATATTGACAGATCGGTCAACATGCGTTATCAACTGATCTCACAAGCACCGGTGCTCTGAAACGCGCACAGGACATCGGTGTCGCAGTGCATTGTGATTAATAGATTCGGATGCCAGAGCTAGAGCTCACATTGCTCGGGTATCCATTTAAACCGATTCAATGGTTCGCGATGAGGCTGGACCTTACCGTGGTGCGATGATTCGCATACCTCAGAGATCCAGTGAGTTATGCTGGGTGGTGCTTTTTACACCTTTTGAGACACTCTTACCAGATTGGTAAATGGTTAGAGGCCAGACAAATTCAGCCTCCTGGTCCTCCAGATTAAGGGTTGGAATGAGGGTGGGACCTTATTTTTTAAAACGGACTCCTTGTAGCCCAACGCCAAACCCGCTGCCTTGCGGTCAGATTTTTGAACCAAAGGCTTTGGTTGAAAACTCTATTCGTTCTCCTGTCTAGGCCTGGGCAATCTGACAGTATCCTGCCCACGTAATACAATGAATTTTTCTTCAAACAGTTTCCTGATGCTCTGGCCGTCTCAGAAGATAGTAAACGGCGTCCTATCTGCTGCATTGAGCAGGGTGGATAGGGGTTTGGACGCTACTGCTCAAGCCTTCCCGTCTTCTTATCCCCCTTCTGACGCTTTTTCTCCCTTATGGTCCCGTTCCAACTTCACTTTCACTCCCCCCCCCGTTTTCAACCCCCGATCCTTGGCCCTCCTTAACATGCTGTGTTAGGAGTTTATATTTTTGTTTTGACTCACGTGCAAACACGGAGCGTCACTCCTGTCCTGTCGACAAGCCCATGTCTAACCAAGCGGTCCACCTTAGTTCATCGGCTTCCATTCGGAGCCCCCGATCCTCCTTCTGATTGGCATACCTCGATGTACGCACATTGCTACAGATCGGTCAACAGGCAGCACTTTCCCGAACTTTAGAGACCCTCTCCACCGATATCTGCTGCTTATCGGAGACCCGCCTGCAAGACTCGAGCTCTGTGCTCACTCTACGATCTCCTTCAGGTGACATTAGCAGTATTTGCTCATTGTGCCTACCCGATGACGATGCAACTTCGAGCACCGGCCAAGCTGGCTGGATGTGTGCAGCCCGATTGGCCGACTCGTTCAAAGCTTGGAAGTCGGGCGGGACTAATAGGTATCTAATAGGTGCCTACACGCCCACTAACTCTAGCGATGATTAGGTAAAAAACGACTTCCACCGCCAACTGACTGAGTTCCTTCGCCACAGAAGAAGCACGGACACAGTTGTGCTGGCGGGGGATCTGAACACATAAGTTGGAAAGTTGTCCACTGATGAACTGCATCTAGGCGGTCAACAGGGTGTAGGCTCCGGTAACGATAACCGGGAAGCGGTTGCTACACCTGTGTGAAGATGCCCGTTTCTTTCTCGCAGACAGTAACTTCCGACACAGCACCCGCCCGACAGTTGCATGGCATCCACTAGCCATGGACACAAATCAACCACATCGCGATCAGTTACCGCTGGAGAGGCTGGGTCCAAACCTGCAGCTCGATTCGAAGTACATGTGCGGACACTGACAATGCACTCGCATATGCTGATCTGCAAGTGATTGTTTGTAGACGCGCGCGACGAAGCTGTGCGCTCATAGGCACTCGCCAATTGGGGAAGTCAGATGTTCTGAATGTGTATTGTAGTACGTGGGTATTCGCGTCGTGTAAATGCTCCCTGAATACAGCTGAAGGTTACCGGTCGCACGTTCACTAGACCTTATTAGCAGCAACCAAATCAAATCGCGAGCCTGGACATTGGGTCTCTATGCAGCCTCTGGAAGTTCTGAACGCTCGCTGGTACATTCCGGATAGAAGCGAACAGAACAAGACTAGCAAAGACTTTAGGGCAAAACTCCGTGTTAGCCTGAAGAGACCTGGAATCCTGGTTGTCTCAACGTGCCTCGGAGATGGACACAGCCGTTGCCCTTAGTAATCGTCGGAAGTTATTCCGTCTGATACGGGAAACGGACAGGAGAAGACTTGGTTTTAAGGAAACGCTTTGTGACAAGAATGGATAGCCGATCCATCACTATCAATAACAGCGCGGTACGCGCACAGTTCGGGCAGAGTGAGTATTTATGGCAAACTGTTGACGCCTTTCAATATCTCCAGCGGTGTGAAACGAAGTTGCCCGCTGTCATCTTTCCTCTATAACGTCGACAGTGATGAAGTCATGAAAACGGCGTCTGCTGGACACGACCTACAAAGTGTGGACGTGTTTTCTGGTGTGCGACTTGTAGACTTGGAAAATGCCAGTGACATTGCACCCATCTGTGACAACTCTGGCCGACGTACTCCAGCTGGAAGCGAACACAATGAGACTCGCAAGAAGCTCAGAGCAAAGCTCCATGCTAGCCGTAAGAGAGATCATGAATCATGGTGGTCTCATGGTGCGCCGGAGATGGAAACAGCCGCTGTGCTTAGTAAGCATTGGAAGTTATGCCGTCTGATACGGGAAACGGGTAGTAAGAGACCTGGCGTTAGCGAGACCATATGTGACGAGTGTGGACAAACGATCCACAGCTTGTCAAAACGATTGGAAAGTTTGGTCGAACACTATGCAAAGCAGTTTAATTAAACTGGGTTATCACTTTCTTTTTCGGGCATTAATTGCTCTTCTCTCTGGATTCGCCCTCACGCGCAGAAGTCGAACGTGAGATCAGATTGTCGAAATTGAATAAGGCCGCAGGTGCAGATAGACTATCCCCAGTTCTGCTCTAGTAGATGATTTGCAATTTACTAGTGAAGCTGAGAGAGCAGGAAACTGGACCAACGGAATGGAGCCGTCCTGTCATAGTCCCAAATTTCAAGGATGGCTCACGTACGAACATCGCTGCCTTCGCAGCTTGGTTTATAGATGGTAGGAACACCGCGTGAGCAATGAATATGTTCAGCGCCGCGTATTTGGTACGGGAAGACCGAGTGAACTGCTTAGCAACATTATATCACGCACTAGCCTCAGATGGCTAAACCACATGTCGCGCATGATAGCACCCCGACTGCCGCGTCCTGCATTGTTTGTGCGCCGGGAGTGTGGATGAAACAGGATGGGAATCCAAGCGATGACGCGGCGGAAAGGAAATAAAAACCTCACTTAGAAATTGGCATCGGTTGGTGAATCCCGACTGCTGGGCTGGGGTCCGAAGGAGGATGGTTGGTGGCATGCGGTTCCGGATTTGCCTGTCACTGTGGCCAGCCACAGGACGCCTGCGCCTACAGAGGGACCATGTGTGGCTTGCGCTGCACCACCCACAGTTCCATCCACACATCCCATATCCAGTGTAAACTCGAAGGGATAATACCGAGAGGCATGCGGATGGGAGCCACGTTTCATCACCGGAGCCGGCCCACACTCCTTCACAGGCAAACACAAGCACGCTGTATTTGGGAATCAATTGCACACAAGGCGGTGGTTGGACCGTAGTCCGCTCCACACTGAGTGCATGGAACTACTCATTTATCTTAACACGGCCACAAGGACCGCGCACCCCGTCCCCTCCTGCAACGACCAACTGTCTCCTGGAGCTAGTATGGACGAGGTAGTAGGTAATAGACAGATAGGCACCTTGTCAACATGTACATCAAGTGCAGCCACAACTGGTATGTCAAACAACAGTCAATCATTCGAAATGCCGGTAACAAATAAGATAACGAATAAAGTAAACATATATGAGGACATAAATACTCAGTAAATGGGCATGTGGAAAAAGTTGGTTATAAGCGAATTCGCGATAAGTACAAAAAGTATGTAAGTTATTTTAAAAATACCACGTGATGAAGTTACGCAAGTTTAGTACAATCAGCATGTGCGACTTGTGCAAGTTAGGATAAGATTACCAGGTACGCAGAACCAACCAAATAAAGTGGAATGAATTTTATCCACGTATGGTTAGATACACTTGCTGATATGGCGTAGAGCCGGAGCACATGGCGTTTGTGCTGAGTTTCTTCGTA